CAATTGTCTCTTTAACATATACAGCTACTCCTCTCTCTTTTTTTGTTGTGCTGATGCATAATAGAGTTTCCCAATTTGAGGATATTCCAAAAGTTCATAGTATTGGGAGTTTTTTTGTGTGTCTCTTGCAGACAAATTATATCAGTATTTAATTTCTGTAATTTTTTAAAGATTCTTTTTCTTTTTGATCAGTCCATTTAGGTTGACTGAAAAAAATCCGTTTTCCTTCTCCATTTTATTTACTTATATTTAGGTCTTGTTGATCTCGTAATCCTCTGCTCTCTTGCCATTCCTTCACCCTCTTGATCTGGCTTCTTTTTCTCTTCTTCTGTTTGTATAGTTGTTTCTTCTGTTGTTTGTTTTGTCTGCTTCTGGCCTTTTCTATCCTCTTGTTGATGTTGTACTTTTTCATCCAGGAATGCTCTGTTTCTTTCATCAAAATCTTCTGCCTTCCAAACTGAATCCAGTCGATATCTTGTATTATTAGAGTTGTATTGTTCCAGTTGAGTAAGATCCCTTCTGGAATTAACCATCTAAAGTTTACATCTTTTGCAATTAACTATGTAGTCAAAAAGTGATATTGTTTTTGAGTGTCCCTTATTCTCTTAGGAATCTGCTTTAACACCACAATTTCTTTGTTTTTATATTGTAATGGATCATCCCTAACTCTTCTCAGTATTTCATCTCTTATTGTTTTCTTTGGGCCAACCGCTATCAGCGCCAAGCTCCCAAAGCTTCCCTTCTTCTTCGTCACCTCTCCAGGGCAACTTTCCGACTCCTTGGGGTCTCCAGACAGAGCGAAATCAAGCTAGGAAACCGGAGCTCCGATTTCTTTCGCCCATCTCGTCATGACACCAAACCGGAAGCCCAAACAGCAGAAGTTTCTATTCCTACCAACAAATATTCAGATTTATTGCACTCTATTATAAGTCATTTATATTGAATGAAAAGTTACATCCTTTTAAAATAAAAATCATAGATTTGGAAAGGGCCATTTATGCCATCACCTGTAAACTTGTGCTTAGTACAAAACACTGGTGAAACCACAGAGATACATATCCAACTTCTTAAATTCATCCACACTTCTCTCTTAATTGGTTCCATGTGAAACTGCTGTTATCACTAGTTTTTGCTATTCTGGGATAACAGCCTGTGTGTTGTCTTTTTTCCTATGCACTACCTCTTCTAGTACTCAAAGAATGCCTTATCATCATCAGTTTTTTTTTCATGTGACAAATATACTTAAATCCCTCAGTTTCTCCTTATGGGTTTCAGCGTCCATCCCCTACTATTGTCATTGCCTTTTGTTATATCTCTTTTAATTTCTTTGAATCTTTCATAAAGCGATGCACCCAAAACTGAGATGGAAGTCTGAACAATGCAAAATACAGTGGAATTAATATTTCCCATAATTTAGAAACTATTCTTCAGTTTGCTTTTTTGGCAGCTCTGGCACATTGCTGATTTTATTCGGCTTTTTTAAGATGATTTTTCACACATATTGTTCCCAGTCTAGATAGTCCCCTTTGTATGCCTCTGCATTTTTTCCTGTTTCTTAAGTGCATACTTTTCCATTTGCTATTAAGTTTCATTCCATTATTTTAGCCCATTTTGCTAACCTATTAAGTTATTTTTGAATGTTAATTCTATCTTCTGGAGTCCTGGCTATCATACCCAGTAATGTGTCATCTGCAGATTTGATAAGCATTATTTCCGCTCTTCCTATACAGGGAGAGTACATCCCCAGGACTGAATCTTGTGGCCTCTAATTTAGTATCTGATGTCAGGGCTCCAACTGTGAAAGGTTACCAGCCCAGCCTGTGACAGCTATCTAAGAGGAAAGCAGGAATGGAAAAAATGAAAACATTTGTCTCCAATAGACAGGCCTGAATGTATGGAAAAAGCTAATCTAAAACTTCTTTATAAAAGCAGGATATGAAGTATGATCTGATATAAATTCTGTAGCTCTCTCCCCACATCTCTGGGACTGTCAACTGTGTTTTATGGCTGATGTTCCAATATGCCAGTGAAGTTTATATCTGCATTTCATCCATGTTTCTGAAGAGCTACCCACTCGTTTGAACTGCTTGACACTTTACTCTTTATGAAGAACTATCAATTAGCTTCTTAGACTATGATTGTTGAGCCAGCCTTAGATTCATTTTATACACTCACCCTCAAGGCAGACATATTAAGCTACTGTTTAAAAATGTGAAGGATAGTTTGTCAGATAATGAAATTAAGATACTGTACACGACAACAACAAGGAGTTACTAGTCAGAAAACGAAGTAAGATTCGTCTGCTTTGTTACTGCCAAATCCATAGTGGCTTCTGAGTATTGTTTCCAAGCACTTACCCAGCAATCACTTGCAATTTACAGGCTGTCTGGTCTGTCTTTCCATTGATACTATTCTTCCCCCCCTCTTCCCCCCAGATGAGGGATGTTTACCTCTTTGGTTGTCTGCTACTTCATGTTGTCCAGGATTTCTCAAATATAATTAATAAAGATTTCATGAAACCATTGGCAAGTTTAATATCCTTGAATGCAATCCATTGGCCCTAAAATATTTGAAATAATTCACATTGACTAATCCCTTTGTTTCATCACTCAAATTAAATTCCAAATCTTCACAATTGCCTACGTACCTACTTCCTTTTTAGAGAAGACAGAATCAAAATAAGAGTTAATTAATTTTCTATATTATATTTCATCCTTTAAAAAGTCTGGAAAATAATTCATTCTTCTAAAAAATATACGATGCGAGAATTCTAATTCCCTGACAAATAGGGGAGCAATAATCAGGACTCCCACCTTCAAAAATAAAATTGACCACGCATAATCTAACAGAGCACACAGGTGAACTTGTCTATTTTATGTTTTCTATTATTTTCAGGGATTCCGTGGTCATAAACTTCATGATGTATTACTGTCACCAGGATCTGCAGATCTCACTGCTGATATAGATTTCAGCTACTTGCGAAGAATGGTACAGAAAAGAGTAGCCACTTTGGGACCTTTAAAGCAAAAGGAATTCTTGAAAAATATGGGCATTGATGTTAGATTGCAGGTGAGGGCTAATTTTGTAATTAATTTATTCCTTAATAATCTGCTTTCGCCAAGAGCTCAAACCAACTTACATAGGGAAACCTTTTCATTTTATCTCAACAGCAATCTTGGGAGGTAAGTTGGGCTAATGGGATATATATATATATATACATACACACACACACACACATATATATATACATGCATACATACATATACACACACACACATGTACATACACACACACCATTAGCCCAACATGTATTTATATTTACAGTTGCATATAGTTAAAATATAAAAGTTACTGTCAGGCATTAAAACTCAAGACACATGGGGAGGCAGAGGGAGAGGGGGGAATCTGTTATTAATCCATCAACCACCTCCATTGCGCTGTGCCCCCATAGGGGCCCCAAGCTAACTGGGAGCCACGTTTTTAGGCCCTTACAAAAAGATACGAGTTTCCTGGGTTGAAGGTGGATTGAAGCTATTTTTGGAAAATAATATCTTTTTTTAATGTAGGTTCTACTGCAGAATGCTGATGATGCAGTCACTCGAAGTCATCTGCTTCAAGGTTATCAAATGCTCATGGATAACATGGGAGAACGCTTTTATTTTTTTGCCCTTTTACCTCATTGCAGACTTAAGGCTTCATATCAGTTAATGAAGCCAGATCACTCACTTTCAACACCTGTTGCTGGCTTTGGAGAACTTTTATGGAAGTGAATTTCAAATCAGAATATGCATTCTGGTAAAAATCTAGATTTTCCATAAGGATCTATCCTTAGATCTGTCAGGAAGACAGTTGAGTTACTTAACCATGGAAGATTTCAATCATACTCCTGTAACATAGCCAATATAGGGAATCATTGATATGGTAAAACTAAAAACACAACAATGCTGCTGAAAGAGAAGAGAAGTTTTAGATGGAAAAAGTGCACAATACTGCACTGTGGAAGAGTTTCATAATTAAGTTTGCTCTTTAATCCCCCTGAGAATTTCCAAATTAGAAGGATAAGTAATTTCACTGCCAATTCTTTGGGTGATGCAAATAACGGTAGAAGTAGTCCTCAACCTATGACCATTCAAAGTTTTGATGGCTCTGAACAAATGGTGGTTAGGACTAGTCCTCTGAGTGCTAACTGCCCCAGCATCCTGCAATGTAGGCAGCTGGCAACCAATTCACACAATTGGTTGCAGCACTCCATGATCGTCATTGGCTGTCATCCTTGCTGACTTCCTCAGAAAGTCAATGGGGAAGCCAGCAGGGAGGTAACAAGTCTTCCCCACCTGTGTGCTCTTCCCGGCTCCTCTCACCTTAAACCATGGCAACCACACAGACACCCATCCGTGCCCTCCCCAGCCCTAGGTGAAGGATTGCCTCTTTATGGTTCCTAGCGAGCAAGTGGCCTTCAGAAAACAGAGCTAGTACAAACTGAGTAAACAGTGCCGGCTCCTTTTCATTTGTAAATGTAGCTCTGTGTACTATTTTGTTGTAATAAATGGTTAATGTGTTAATATGGTGTGTAATTCATTTCAGGAAAAGGAAGGACCGAAATATAAGCAGTGGCTCATTCTTGCTTTTTAACATAAGCAGCCTGTCCTAATTTCTGAGGAATCCTTCCTAAATTCCACAACTATTATATCATGCTTATAATAATAAAAGATCCAACATGACTTGGCTAAACCGAGGCTATTCAAAAGGCTGCAACTGAAGTTTGCTACAAACTAGTGCCAAGAATATCATTAAAAACACTGGTTATTGTGTCACATTTTACTTCAATAGTGCATCTTAGTGAGCTTAAGGAAAGATCTAGAACTGGACCAAATTTCACATAAGATTCAAATTAGCTTGACAATACTGTAATACTAATCATTCTAATATATTTCTATAGATGTCTTACAGCAAAAGTCTTTTTATAAATAGAAAAAAGCACAGTAGGGAAATAAAATTTATTTTCAAGCTTAGAGGATATTTACAAACAATGAGATATATAAAAATATAAAAAGTACTTGACAGTGTCTTTTGAGACTATATGTTTTACTAAAGTATTTTCTAAAATCAATACAGCATTATTTTTTGATGAATGCAACTTACCTCAAAAAGAAATATTAATGCTAATGCAATTCTGGGTACAAATTCATCCGGAACAAATGCCAATTTAAAGCTTTGATGCAGTAATTTAGGCATTCAAAGGAACAGTTTAAGAATGCTAGCTATGCAATTTTATTGTTGTAGAGTATGAGTAACAGTTATTATAGAATAGAAACATTCCAGTTATTTTTTTCTTTGGCCCCAATATCATTTGTATTCTTGTTCTACTGCTATATAACATTGTTATCCTGAAAACAAAAGAATAACCTAAGAGGCGTAACATGAAATACAATACATTCTCTAAAAGTGACTTGCAGTTATTTAAATAATAGCTATTCAACTCTACATACTCACTTGGAAGTAAGTCCCATTGAACTCAGTGGGATATATTTCTAAGGAGACATATACAATAGCTCTGTTAATGAATTCCACTGGGAACATCTGTGATTCTCTTTGGGCATAAATTTATAAAAAGTCAGGGGAAAACGGGTATATTCAGTTCTAGTAGAGATTAGGCTGTGATTTAGGCTTGTTCGGTCATTTTCAGTCTAAGAGAATACTTTCAACTATATATTCCATATCAACTTCCAGCATATCTAGAAGTACTTTTGAATATTTCCTTTCAATCACTGAAGTCAGCAAGACATATTTATCATCCCCCATCTCTATAGTGGATATTTTTTCTGGCCCTGATTCTAACATCTAATATGGGAAAGGTAGCAGTTGGCAAATTATTAATTCATTAGCAAGAAAAAGAAATAGGTTTTTCTAGATTCAATTCTGATTAACACTTTACCTCTGTACATCCTTCTCAGTACAGTCCCTCACTTTTTCCATAGCTAGTTATTAAGTGATAAGGAATAATCTATTAATAAAATACTATTTTTCATTCTGCATGAACTCATTCTTTCTGTTAGTATTGATGAGGATAAAAATGAATTATATATAATGGTTATAATTTTCTGCATTTTACTTTCCATCATCCTGAAAAAGGTTTGTCAGTGATAAACTATCTGAAATTGGGATATTAGAAAAACGCTACAACTGAAAATAGGAGTGTTTGACTAACGGACAAACCAATATAAAAATATTAAAAGGAAATATTCTTTTCATATTAAATAATTGCTTTATGTTCTGCTGAAGCATTCTCATATTAGATGCTTCAATTATCCATTTTTTTCTAGCGACTAATCTTTTAGATAATTGCACTCAAAGTGTCTAAAAACCTGCTAGAAGGGTGGAAAAGTAACAAAAGCATTTTTATTTTGGAGTGCCTAGGTAATAAAATGGTCAATGAATCTTGCAACTTAAAAAAAAACTATCTGCAGAGATGAGAACACATTGTCAGAACTTCAACTTAAGTTCCTGTTGCACTTGCAGTAACTTGTACAGTGTGTATTGTATTCAGGTACTATTACTGTTCTGCATTCCCATAGCTTAACAAACTGTCTTATTAAATTATATGCCTCCGTGTTCAAATCTTAAATGGTCTGAACAGCATTATTGGTTCCCATCATCTTTACATTTCCAAAGTATATGCAGTTCACTTACAAATAATCAGTTAAAGGGATTTTTTTTTAATCAAGTGTTTTTGCGGAGGCATGCAACAGATTTTCTTTCAAACAGCATGAAACTGCTCAAAACACATCCAAAATATTCAAAATTACCTGTTTCCCATTCAAAACAATAATTTCGCACTTGAAAAGGATATTTGCAAAGTTTCATGAAGTTTTGTACTCAAGACATTTCAGAATGAAAAGTTTTGCATATTTCTAGTTTTTGGTCACGGCATATACGTTCATGGTTCTTTATAGCTTCCTTATAAATGTTATCTAAATAGCAGAAAATAATATCTTTGCCTAAATATTTACTAGAAAACATTAAAAATTATTACTGTGTAAATTACAAAAAAAAGAAAATTCCCATACATCAAGTCTCTGTGTACATAAGCTGTCAGTAACATCTCTGTGATGTACCAATAAGGCAATATTACAGAAATACTTCATGGCTTTTAACTCAGTGCTTGGATTATATTCATAATCATATAAACTAGAGACATAAAGATGCTTCCCAGATGTCCATCCACAAAGTGATGCAGGATCTTGCCTTCATAGTTTTAGAGACTGAATCATCTGAAGAGCCAAAAGCATCAATTGTTCCAAAGTATCAAAACTTGGTTAAAATGCTTTTTCCAATGAATCATGGATCTTCCTCCATATCATCTGGATTAGGAGCCATAATGAAATGTTTGGGATATACAAGATTGTGTTCATATGCATGTTCTTCCCAGCGAGCATCATCACTCTCATGGGTAATGTAGCGTTCTCCAATGCGAGTTTCAAACTCCCGAAGATCAAGCCAAGTTTGATAATCCTGCAAAGAGAAAAAAAACTTAGAATGGAAAATTTAACAATATTCAAACTACAATACAAACTCACTTCCCGATGACCACATTGATGCATGAATTTGTGACAAAAATTTCCTTCAAAATAACTTTTTTTTTCTTTAGAGTGTTATCTCCTATCAAACTACTAACCACATCCAATCGAACCTAGCTTTTTTATATATAATAGTTATGGTAGGTTAGACAATTCCATCTGCTTTGGCCTTTCTAAGCAAAAGAATATATTTAATAGAGAAACGATTCACCTTAAAAACAAAATGATGCATAATATTTTAAACCAGAAACAAGATTGGATACCTGGTAAAACAGTTCACTAAAAAGAATGGAAGATATAAACTACCCTAGTAAAATACATGGGATAAGTTAGGTGATGTTACAAATTTTACAGAACAGATTTGAATTAGTTTAAAAAAAAAGCTATACCAAGAAAAGGTGAGAATTAAGTAGCATTGCTTTATATTTTTAACCCGTTACGTATCCAAGGCCATAAGAAACTGCCTTCTTTATTGCTCCTGATGCAGCTAGCGGCTATCCTAAGCTCCTCTTCCCAAATTAAATTGTTGGTGAGGACAAATAACGGATATCCTCTGAGTCTGGGTATCATCTGGGTCCTCCAATAGAGTTGACCCACTAATTAAGTGGGGCTCTTTTTGTAAACCCAAAGTTACTATACATCCTGCTCTGGGGTCTTTCAGAGTGAGGAGGAGAACATTAATAATAAATATAAGAAAGAATCTAAGCCAATAGTAACACACAAATGCATGAGTATTATTGATAATTGAACACAACCTGTTAAAAAGACAGAATAACACATCCAAAAAATGAGACAGGGAAGATGGCAGAAAGTTTGAATTGAGTAACACTCTTAAATATTTCCAAGGCTTCAGTTAATTCCAGACTTGTCAGATATGATTCATATTAGTATAGTATGTAACTACCTGTAACCAAGGATGACTAAGTGATTTGTCAACACTGTAACGTTTTCTCATCTTCACTTGAAGCAAATTATTTATTAAATCAGTAGCTGGGAAAGCAAATGAAAACGCAATCAGGGTAAATATTTCATCCCTTTCCATCATTCTCTCTATTCTTTCCCCACACCCATCTCACCCTCATACACATACATTTATTCTGGAGAAAGAGTTAAAGCTCTTTTAGTGATATAAATGAATGACTGTGCTCGGTCATTCAGTCCCTAATCATTTCATGATGGAATACTATATTGCGCTCTACAATAGGGGCTATTCTTGAAAAGCATTTGGAAGCTATAGCTGGTGCAGAGTGTGGTGGTGTGGGTAGTTTGGGGGGGGGGCAAGAACACCACTACTCCATGAGCTTCATTGGTTACCAGTCTGCTTCTGGGAGCAATTCAAGGTGTTGGTGATCACTTTTAAAGCCATTCATGGCATGAGGCTCAGGTTAATTGAGGGACCATCTCACCTCACTGGGATTGGCCCATACCACTTGTGCCAGCAGAGGAGACATGCTGTGGGTCCTGTCAGCCCAAATATTCCAGCTGGCAGGGTCCAGGAGGAGGGCCTTCCCTGCTGTTGCTCCTGCCTTCTGGAACATCTTGCTCCCCAATGTGAGGTTGGCCCCTATCTTTCAGTAAGGGCCTAAAGACGTGGCTTTGCCAACGAAAAAGGAGGCCAGCAGCTCCATTCTCAGCAGCAAAGGCTTTTCCTCAAGGCTTTTGCTGACGAAAACGGAGGCTGGGAGCGACGAGCGGAGACTGGAAGCTTCTCAGCGCTGTAATCTTGCGGCTGAAGTCACTTGAGATTAAAAGCTCCCAGTTTCAGCACCCAAAGTGTTTGCAAGCTGAGCAGACACTTTCCGTCAGCTTGCAAACACACTTTGGGCTCCAAAACTGGAAGCTTTTCAGTGCCATGATCTCGTGCGGCAGAGAGGCTGGAGAGGACACAGCTCGCTAGATCTTCACAAGGTGAGTCTGGCACAGCAGGATGGGGGGGAGGAATTGTGGGTAATATGAGGTATCTCAGTGGATCTGAAGAGGCCTTGGGTGGCCTGAAGCAGATGGCCTGTTCCATCAGTAGGCACCCCCCATGGCTTTCCCCACCCTGAGATATCGTGCACTTAACTTGTGCATTCGATTTGCGAATGTGTGGGTGAAAGCAGTGAGTGATGGCATTCAAGGTATGCCATTTACTCCTATAAATCCTCAAATTACAAATGGAATGGGCAGGCTCCATTACATTCATAACTCAAGGACTACCTGTAGAAGCCCCAAAGTCTGCCTGCACTGCTGCACTCCGCACCATTTGAAGCTTCTGAATGCTCTTCAAGGGTAGCCTTGAAAATAAATATACTATATCTACTTAAGAAACATTTTTTTCACAGGGAGCAGACTACAGTATGGAGTTTCATCAGTAATTAAATCTCCTTCCCTTTCTATAGCTGGAAAGCCCAGAATATGCTGCCTCATAATAAGAAACTTCAGTATTTTTAGGAGGTTCAAGAAAAATCCTATCAACTACAGTACACATCAGACTTTAACTCATTAATGGGCAGCTTACCATTTTAGAGTAAAAGCTTTTTTTCCTTTTGCTCAGTAACAGGAAAATGATTCCCAATGGTTCCTGAATAGCAGTCACTCTCTCATCTAATTTACTGTCATGTCATTGTCGCATTCCAATTAAATGCTATAAACCAGGGGTGTCAAACTGCCGGCCCATGGGCCGGACACATCATGAGGAAACTGCGCTCATCCCATTGCCGGCAATGGAGAAAAAGCTCCAATACGTCGCATGACATCACGTGACGTTGCGATTTGATTT